AGCCCCCAGAACATTCATTGCACTGGGATAGGGGATGTCCGGTACAAGGAACCCAGGGGCTGACTTTGTAATGTAGTTTCCTAGAATGGCACAGAAAGGTGGCCTCGGTGCCAGGTTCTGCCCCACCATCTTCCAGTCGGACATAAAACCAAAGTCCTGACTCATCGCCTGATGCGTCCCATGTCACATTCCACATTAGCTTGGGTGTCAAAGCCTAGTGTGAATATCGGATTATACGGTGCTATCTAAAATGCCCCTTGTAGTTTCAATCTAACACAGCAAGACTTCACTTCCCATCTCAACCTCGTGTGATATTGGCCTATTAAACTGCTGCTCCATTGTCTGCTAGAGGGGCGAAGTTTGTAGATCAAACGTGTTTATAAATGTAAATTGTCTTGTGTACTGGACAGATTCCTACTGCTTTTTGAAGTTTGTAGATGAAACATGTTTATAAATGTAAATTATCTTGTGTACTGGACAGATTCCTACTGCTTTTGGGCTCTGATAGTGACAATTTCATCCCATGCGTGTGAACCTCTCGGTCCGTACTTTCTGCAGTTATTGATCACTAAAGGGGCAATGAGGTCCACCATCCTTCAAGGGGGCTCTTACAGTACCTACAGAGTGTTACAATGCCTAGCTAGGAGAGATATTGTAATACATTACTTCTCTTGCATGTTTTTAGGAGTAGGTTTGGTCAGAAAAGGAACCCCACTTTGCTTATCCCTCATTCATCGACTACATCTCGTGGAAAGAAATGCAAGGTAAAGCACAAGCACCGGTACTGCTTTATTTTTTACATGAGTATTAGCTGATTTATTTGAAACATTCTGACTTATCTGCCATAAATATCAATAGTAGTCTCATAAATAATGACAATACTTTGTATGTAGAATTCCAACGTTTTTTAGTCCTTGAATGCCGTACAGATTTGATTTCTTTTTCAAGATGTATCATCAAACTCAGTTTAGTCAGTGGCACCAGTCTTTCATTTCATCTTTCTGTGCTCGCTCTGGTTCAAGAATAGAGTTTCTGTTTTAGCTTGCCAACCACTGGCATACTTACTCAAGTTGTGAGATTAGCACGAATTGACTCTGATATGTTTTAATTCACTTAGTTAACTCCTGCACTGTGTTGAGGTTGATTGATTTTCTTTTGTGCAATGCCAGGCAAATTCATGAAAAGTTCAATAGATCCCAAACTCCTGCTTTTTCCACAGTATCTATGTTTTATTTGCAGGATGCTGATATAACAAGAAAAGAGAAGGCAAAGAAAAATACTCCCAGTGTACATTTTGACGGGAAAATAGAAACAGAATCATCCTCCAGTGCACTAGATTCATCATCTTTGTTAGCTAAGATGAGGGCTAGAAACCACCTTATTTTACCACAAACGATGGAGAATGAGAGTGATGAGACTCTTCAGGCTTCTGCTCCACTCCCTACGTCGACGGAACATGATGAATTGCTGGTGGATGTACGAAACTTTATAGCATTCCAGGCTCGTGTGGATGGAGAGGCTAGTACTCAGGAGATACTGCAGGAGTTTGAATCCAAGCTATCAATGGCACAGTCTTGTGTGTTCAGAGAACTTCTGAGAAATCTCTGTACTTTCCACCGAAGCCCGAATGGTGAAGGTGTCTGGAAACTGAAGCCAGAATTCCGTTGACCCTTTGATTGAAAGTGCATCTGTAGGTACTTAACCAAAACTCTCCTCCGCAAGACTTTCTATTAATCTTTTAAACTGGTGGATCCTGTTTCGTGTTATGTTAATGTCTTAATGACTGACTTGTACTGTACCTGGTGCAGCACTTAAGTGTGTCCCACTGGAGACATAACTGACCAATTTCCTATTAATTCTATTTATATGAAAACTGCCACCTACCTCACAACTGAAACAATACAAAACCTTTTCTTTTAAAAACAACGTAATGTAAATGGGCAGAGGAAGAGGTATATTAACAGTTTATTGCAATAAGAGCTATGGATTTTGCTATGTGATGTCCGATTTTTATCCAGTTTCTGTGAAGTTCAGTCTTTCTGTCGATTACTTGACCGGTCATGGGGGAGGGTTGTGTGCGCCCATTTCCCCACTGAACAGAAACGTTAATTATGAACAGTTTCAGTGGGAAAAGATCATTTGTACTGACACAGTATCAAGAATCATTGAGAGACTTTCATCAGTGTTGGAAATTTGCTTTATGGTATTGCTGCTTTCCTTTTTGCCTGGCATGTCACTAGGAAAAAAATCTGCTGCCATGAAGGTTTAATTGCAATAATAAAGAGCCAACAGCGCATCTGGATGAGTTGAGATTGGTAATGGGTTCTAGAATTCATCTGCCTATTAATCACCACTTCAAAGCCAGCCCAAGTCCCAAAGCACTTGCCTAGTATAATGCTTACTACCACAAACAGTCCCACTGAAACCAATGTGCTAGTAAGGAGTAAGTCTGGTAAGGGGTGATTGCTAGTTGCCATCCATGGCCTGTGTAATATCAAAAAATCTCACCACAGTCGGTGTTAACTGAGACTGGTTTTCAGTCTTGAGCGAGAACCGAATTGGCCGTGGAGAATGCACTGCCGGTGTGGTCCTTTCAGTTCAGGGCTGAGGCACGTTTGTGGTGTGTGAGGCACCACGTTGTACACTTTCTCTGGATAAAAACCTCAATCTCCAGGACTCCCAAACCAGCACTAAATGACCATGAATTTCTCTTGAAGCAAGGAAGAGCTGGATTATTCCCCACCGCTGGCACCTAAAATCTCTCTGCAAGATGCCATGTGCCACATAGAGATTTGAATCAGAACGTGACACCCCTCGATGCCAGAAGGACAGTCTTGCATTTCTTTGCAGCACCACTAAAACATTGTATCATTTTAAACTAGGACTAACTAAATAGTCCCCAGATCCCCTTAGAGGGAGAAAGGCAAAGATGATCAACTGCAGGTTTTCCTTTGAATTCGTTAGTAAGGTGAATAATAAATTCTATTAACTAACTTATTAAACTGAAGATAGAAGCAAAACTTAAAGGTGAAGGGTGAAGCTAGAATAAAAAGTGTGTTTGCTTTCCTAGAAAGATGGCTCTTGAGGTTTTTTCCCAAACAGCCTTTCTTTGTGTGTCAGCCTAGAAGTACTGGGTCCTTGCTTCCCTCTCTTTACTGAAAGATCCTTAGTGGTACGCCATTACCTACCTGAAAAGCAATGCCATCCCAGACCCTAACTTGAATTACATCTGTGCCTGCCCACACAAAGGAAAGGCTGGCCAAGAACTGGCATTCCTTCCACACTGAGTCCTGCAACTCGGTTTGCAGCGTATTGTGATATCCACTCTTCAAGCTCACTGAACTTGCTAAGGACTTCCAATGACCAAAGGGAACCAAAGAGCTGCTATTTCTAATGCAGAAATGTCTACAAAACATTGAGTCTGACTTCATGGACCAGCAAGGAGTGGTAAAGGGGCGAAACGTTTGTTTTTAGCCATTTACTTTAAAGATGTTTGTACATTGATTTTGATTGAAAGACTTCAAGGATTAAGTATTTATCTCTGGTGCCTCGCAAAGAGTTTGGGTGTCTGGTTTGACATATATAGTATCATGAGCTTTCATGGGGAAAACCCACTTCCTCAGATGAGCAGAAGAAGTGGGTTTTGCCTATGAAAGCTCATGATTTTATTTATATAGGTGCTACAGGATTATTTGGTGGTTTTGTTTTTAAGTTACAGACTAACACAGGTACCCCTCTGAGATGGTTTCACATCCGACTTTCATTCTTAAAGGCATATCATATATTAGAGGGTGGAAGGTCTGTAGGTCTCTCCTCTGATGTGTTCATGACATAAAAGGAGCTGTACGTGCTTTTATAATTCCTCATTTTTTATGAGCTTAATAAAATGTCAATAGCAAAAACAAAAGCTTTTTCTAAGAGACTGCTTTATCTCCAGTTTTGGGGTTTAGTTATATAAGAAGCTTTTTGGCTGGGTAAAAGTGAGAAGACCCCCTGGAAATGTATGATCTCTCCGTCGATGATCATATATCGAGCGGTCCATCAGATCCTAGAATATCTTTGAGGATGCGTGACTACAATCTTCGCCATTGCATGAGGTTTTGCGGGGTTTCCTTTGGCATGGTTAAGGGTAACTTTACTTGCTGCTTTAATAAAACATGTAGTACAGATAAGACTTCATACTTACGACTGTGACTATCCTTGGACTTTGTGTGTTCCTAGAGTCTCCCAGTTTGACAGTGGCACCAAAAGTGGATTTTCACTTGGAGCTTGAAACTGTTGCAACCGGAGCTGAACAGATGGTAGTTTAATGCAAAATTATTAAAATCAATTGAAATAAGTAAGTCTTCAAGCACGCTGGAACTGGAGGAGTGGAGGTATCAGACCTGGATGGTGCTTGGACCTTGCACACAGGGTTAAACACCCAACATAGGGGAGTCAGATCCCACCCTGTGGAACAAGAATTGATGCTGTAGGGTGACCTTTCAGTGATTTTACCCTCTGCTCCTCTTCTGCAAAATTGACTAGAAATTTGCAAGACAAAATTATATCCTTACTGATAGGTCACCTTTGTCTGCTATAGTCCCTTGATAACTTGACCTTGGCTGGTTTTGGCCAGTTTGATTAGTAGTGACATTCCTTGCACAAGGCAGGAAGATTTTCAAAAGCATCTTAACAAGATTTGTGCTCTTCAAGCCCATGGCAACTTAGAAAAATCTTTCACTAAATCACTACAGGTACAAAGCTTGCCATGCAACGGGCCAGGCCTTCAGCTGGTACAAATCAGTGTAGTTAGATCCTTCCATGGTGCAAATCAACACTCTTCCTTAGAAGTTAACGGAGCTATGTTAGTTTACTTTACATGAGGACACGGCCCATGGTGTCCAGTCTACCATGTCGATTATTGGCATTCGCTCTTCCCAGAGTATGCAACTCTTTAAACAGGTGCTTGCTCGATTCCTAGTCAAGTCCAGCAATTTCTCCGAGTTCCATGGCCATGTTTTGGATCTGAGAGACTGTAATTGTCCATTTCCCAACACAATGAATAATTAAACAGGTGTGTTAGGGGCAGCTCTGTCTCGTTAAACATTTGGGAAATGTCTTGTATGCCTCCTTCCAGTTGGGTTCTCCTGTGCCAATAAGATCCTCTCCTTTTTACAGAGGACGATCTTGTTGAGGATTTTTGGTCAGCTAGACACTATATATAGCTTGTGTGATGTACCTCGAGGAGAGGAGATATTGACCACTGTCCTCATTCTACTGTCCAATTCATAACACATTTTTTGGCAACTTCTGATCTCTAGCATCTTGTAATTGCAGTCTGTAGATAACTGAGTCAGAAACTGATCTTAGTTACACTGGCGTAAGTCTGGATTAGCGCAACTATATCAGTTTTTCAATAGCTACCCACTAATTCAGCTTGATACTGTGAGTAAATCAGAAGAGGCACAGTGCTGGGTAGAGTAAGGGAGCTTCTTTATGGAGAGAGATTTTTTCCGGCTTTTATTTGAGACTGAATATCGAGGAAATCCATTCCTTAAAGAAAGATGCTATCAAATGTCTGTGAGGAAAGGCCACGGAGGAATCCCTTTTGGCAGCACCATGGTGTGAACATTTTCCAATAGATTAAACATGCGGCGCCAGAAAGCTGCAAGAAACAAAGGCAAGACACGATGCCGTACGAAGAATATTGTGTATTTCTCAGTGAGATTCTCCAGAGAAATCTGCTGCCTCTCAAGGAAGCTTTCAGAGACGAAAACATCTTGGCAGCCATCGCCTATCTAGCAAATATGCACATTCCGGAGGGGAAGTTATGAAAGGGAGTGATAGATGGTCAAAATAAAACTGGTGAAACAGGATGGGCTTAAAAACAAGGGCATGGAAAACACAAGAACAACTGGGGACCTCAAAGCTCTTCCAAAGACAGGATAATACCTTACACTGCTAGAGGCAGCTGGCATTAGTGTTCAGGGGGAGAGTTGGGTATATGAATAAATAGCACTACAGGAAGTCTTGCGGTCCCCGTGTATACAGGGCTGATTCCTTGTGGAATCTACTTAATGTTCCACCTTGAGCTGTGGATTGGTCACATCCTCAGAGTGAAGAAGATTTAGGCTGGGAGGTATACCAGTGATTCAGTAGGAAGCGCTTTTTCCTTGAGTCAGTAGTGAGCCAACGCTGCTGTGTCGTGTTATGGGGCGCCTGTACAGCCGGCTGTGTTGTCCAATAGTACAGGCAGTCCCCGACTTACGCGGATCCGACTTATGTCGGATCCGCACTTACGAACGGGGCTTTCTCGCCCCGGAGCTCAGAGGCAGCGGTCCGCCACCTCGACCTCCGGGGCGAGAAAAGCTGCTCCCGGTGCCCCTGGTCTAGGACGCCTGGGGCAGAGCAGCTGGGGTGCTACTGGGTTGCTCCAGGAGCGCTGAGGAGCGGTGCTACTGACCAGCGCTTCCTGGAATCAGCCGCTGATCAGTTTCAGCAGCAGCTGACTTGGGGACGCTTGGGGTTCTTAAGTTGAATCTGTATGTAAGTCAGAACTGGCGGTCAGTTTCAGCAGCGGCTGAATCTGGACGCCAGTTCCGACTTACATACAGATTCAACTTAAGAACAAACCTACAGTCCCTATCTTGTACGTAACCCGGGGACTGCCTGTCTGTAAAAAGAGCTACTGACCACTAAATATCCCGTGCCAGGTTTATCCCTAGAGTAGGAGTTGATTCCAAATTCCAACTCAAATAATTACATTCTGCCTTTCTAAATTTCCCTGAAGTTTTCAGTGCGCTACACTGGTGTTCACTGCCTCTCTTACCCGGTCACTGTGAGCTGCTAAAAAGCTGCAGCTTTCCCCTGCTGAGTTGGTGAGTTTGAAGAATGAATTTCTGGCCTTGGAAGACGCTGGCCTGCTGGATGACAATGGTGAGTCATTTCACCTCCCCGTGCCTTTGTTTCCCCATCTGTGCAATGGGGATAACAATGCTGACTGCCATCGTAAAGCACTTGGAGACCTGCAACTCCATTACAAGGATGTTTGAAGACTTCACCGGTATTTCTGAAGTTCTTTTGGGATCCCAGAGCAGCAGGGGGTGGGGAGATGGAAGTGCTTTTGGATTCTTGGAAAGGGTTGTACTATGGAAGCGATGGCAACATGCCCAGAACTGTACAAAATACAAAAACACGGACAATCCGTGCCCCACAGTTTCCAGGCTAAGCCACATCCTCAGGAGCCAGCGTGTGCTGGCAAATCTAGAGCTGGGAGCAAGTCTCCCCAGCAAACAGACACATGGTAAAAACCCTCACATAGGGCCCCTTAGTCTCTTGTCCACCACTTCTCTGCACTTGCCACCCACTAAGGGGTCACCGTTCTAGGGGCAAAAGTGATGCCTGCACTTCTGTCTTATTCTGGATTGCTGCTCTGGTGTGAGTCTTACTCCTTCAGCCAGGCCTTTGTGGATTTGTCCTCCAGGGTCGGAGCACGGTGCTTTTATTCAGCAGAGGGGAGGTCAATCCAATGGGTGAGCGGTTGGGCTGAAGAGAGGCTGACAGGCCAATTTGGACAGTCCCTCGTGCCAGTGCCCAGATCCCACTGGGGAA